CGAGACGAGGCAAGGCTGTTGATGTTGAGGCAGCCGAACCCAGAAGAAAGCCCGATGCGATTGCTAGTGTTCAAGAAATCAAGGCAGGGGCAAGACTTGATGAGGCTACATGTTCCAAAGTAGCCGAATCAAGGGGCAAGGATGGTGCGACTACAAGTTCACAAGTAGTCAATCTAGGATCGAGACGTGACAAGACTACGGATGTCAAAGCAGTCGAGCACAGGAAAGGACCCAGTATGATAACAAGAGATAAAACTGTCAAGCCGAGGGTGCAAAGTGAACAGGTTCGTTCACAATATGCCAGGATGGAGGCATAATCCAAGTTGATGTGTCTCAAGCATAAAGGAACACTTAAGGAGTATGTGAGCCGATTCAAAAGACTCATGCTCAAAGTCCCGAGTTTGACTAAAGAAGATGGGTTCTTCACCTTCATGATCGGATTGAAGCCATGGGCGAAGAAAGTGTTAGAGCGAAGGGAAGTCAAAGAATTGTCTAAAGCCTTGACAACTGCCGAGTCCATCAAAGAATTTGAAGTAAAGAAAAACAAGACTTCCAAAACAAAGCCGAAAGGCGAGGGTAGTGGCAAGCGAATCCATGATGAAGGCAAGTCGAAGGATGAGGAATGTTGTTCCTCAAGTGGCAAAGAAAGTCCACTCAATGATGAACCAGATGGTGAGTCTGGGGAAGAGGTGTGCAGTCTTGACACAAGTTCAAGTGTCAAAGATGCTAAGCCGAGGGTAAGAGTCGAGCAAACGAGGGAGCACAAACTTAAGATGCCAGAAGTGTTGCAAGACTACCCGAGGGGAGCCGAGTCATCCAATGTGATGGATGAGCCCAGGATCAAGTTGTCTAGATAAGAGGACGAACCTAAGATTGAGGGGGCGTTGAGAGTTGGCTCAATACGGTTCATTTCTGCCAAGGTGAGTAGAAGCCAAGTGCATGAGGAGTTAGCCATGTCCAAGGAGTTTGCCGAGCATGTTCCTGTAGAGAACATGACTTCAGAGATCATCATAAGAGAAAGGTTGTAGCAGGGGCTTACCGAAGATGTTCAAGTGAGGAACAATCCTTCAAATACTAATAGACAAGAGTCGAAGGGGCCCAAGACGTTGAGGGACAATGAAACCATGGAGACACCACCCATTTGCAAGGTGGGAAGTGAACTCCAACCTTCGTGTTAGAAGGAAGGAGGCAAGAAGGGGCATCGGACTTTTCCGTGAGAAAGTTTCGATGCATGGTGGCACAAAGAACTCCAATGATAAGGGTTCAATGCGAGGAGTGTCAGACTTCATGTAATAAGAAGGGCTGACGCAATTTTGAGTATGCTATGGTTTGTACCAGACCAGATATTGCTCAAGCAGTGGGAGCTGTTAGCAAGTACATGAATAATCCGGGCAAAGTACACTGGGAAGCAATCAAATGGATCCTTAGATATCTGTGGGGTACTACACACAAAGCACTTTGTTTCAATGGTGGAGATACAATATTGACATGCTATGTAGATGTTGACTTAGCCGGAAATGTTGACATCAGAATGAGCACTACATGGTAGTATATACTCTAGGAGATACTCTAGTGAGTTGGGTTTCTCAACTACAGAAGATAGTTGCTCTCTCCACACCTGAAGCAGAATATGCCGATGTTACGGAAGCCAGCAAGGAGATGGTTTGGCTCCAAAGTTTCTTGGAAGATTTAGGCAAGAAACAAGAAAACAATGTCTTGTATTGCGATAGTCAAAGTGCTATCCATCTAGCAAAGAATCCGTCTTTTCGTTCCAGGACGAAGCACATACAATTGCGATATCATTTTATACGGTCTCTTCTGTAAGATGGGATTTTGAAACTTGAAAAGATTAGTAGAGCTCAAAATTCGGCAGACATGTTAACAAAGACGGTGACTATGGACAAACTGAAGCTGTGTTCAGCTTCAGTTGGTATGCTAGAGTAACAAGACCAGAAATGCTGCTGCATTGATCAAGGTGTGAAGACAGATTAAAATCACTCTTCAAGTGGGAGATTGTTGAAAGTCATGCTTTCACATGGCATTTGTCAAACAAGGAGGCACCGCACATTGCATTTGTCAAACAAGGAGGCACCACACATTGCATTTGTCAAACAAGGAGGCACCGAAATGGTGAAGTCAAAAGGGGGTTGATTTTGTTGATTTTTTGTAATAGGATAATCGTAAATTTTAGTCCCTACATTTTAGGGTATTTACAAAATTAGTCCTTAAGCTTCAACTATAAATACACTAACTCATTTAGCTTCAAAATCATCTCCAAATATTCTAGCTCTCTCTCAAGTGTTTTTGTAAACACCTGTAAATTTTATCTCTTTAGTAAAAGATATGCAGCAGTCCGGAGACGTAGGAATAATTGGCTGAATTCCGTTATCAATTTTGGGTATTATTTTTCCGCTTTTATTTCACATTCTCACTAACCTGGTTATAGGGAAATTACTCGTTTTATTTCCCAACAATAAGGTCGATTGGAGTGGAGCTGGTGGCTATGATTGGATCATCATTTTCTTTTAGAACCAGGTCCGAGTGCATAGCCCTATCCAGGTTAGAGACACGAGGGGCAGCCTCACTTGACTGGCCAGAGGAGTGGGCAGTTTTACCAGCGATATTTGAGACTGTGAGAGGTTTACGGACATTCGAGACTCCTTTATCTTTGCTTTGCTTTGAAGTGGTCGGGACCTTAGTGGAACGATTAGCCGATTTATTTTTAACTCAAGACCCAGTAGTAGGGTTGGGGTGAGATTTTCCAACGTCAGGGATGGTCTCAGTGGGGTTATCCTCGTTATTATCAGCGATCAATTGAAATCTTGATCCAGTCTGCTCTTTAGTCACGTCTTTGGCAGGATTAGGTTTCTTAGAATTTCGTTTTTGTTTATGCTCAACAAGCATCCAAGGCCCATACAATTCTTCGAGGTGGCTGGAGACAAGCCAGAAGGCATCAATTCGGTGAAGTCCGTCTGATCATAATGTTTGGAAGATTGTGACTTCTCCGGACAGATGTCTTGTACGTGTCTATACCTTCCACGAGTAACAAATCATCCGGAGAGATTCATATTCCACAATCTGAACTCTACCATTAATGAGTAGTTTCGAGACTAGAGGGTTCTTGAGATCGATCATAACCAACATACACGTCCCCAACGCCCGAATTCGGTCTGGTAGTCTATTTTAATTACTGATCCAATACACTTTTTCGATCTCAATGATGAGGCTCCTCTTATACAGCTTGACTGGTAAACTCGGTAGCCGAATCCAAGCAATAATTTTGCTCAGAAAGGCTTGGGAAGTTGAAAATTCTGGCGACCACGGTTCGATGTTAAGATAGTGACCAAATATGATCCAAGGTCCATCTGAGAGAGCTTTTTGGTAGGCTACAGGGGAGTAGAAAAAAACTAGATAGTATTCGTTCTCGACATCCATGATACGAATGGGATTCAAGGGCTTCCACAGATCATGGATCTTTCTTTTTAGAGTGGTGTAACCGATTTGGCGGCCTAAGAGTTTGACCACCACCGTTTGTTCAAAGTTCTTGTTGGCCATTGCTTGGATTCTATCAGAGAAATTGATAGAGATCAGGCCATAAACTACACTTCGGAACACATCACCCTCAAAGACTTCGATGTATTCATCGTCAAAGGCGTTATTCATATCGGCCTCCACGTTTGGGTTAGCACCCATAAGTGTATCACGATCTGAGATCGTAGTAGGGATCTGTTTAACAGGATTAGGATAAGGAACCTCTTTAGGCACCTCGTGAGAGATATCACCGGCGCTGTCTGGCAGCTCTTCATCAAGACGGCGGACTTTCTTTGGCAGTCGATCGGTTGGGGTATTATCTGGCGTTTTTGGTAGGGTTTCTATATAATTTTGTTTGTTTTATTAATTTTGAAATTTTAAATTAATATTTAAAATTTTAAAATTAGTGCCGGCTTTAAGCACCCTGAGCGAATGTTCAGTGCCCTACTTTTTAATTTTATTATTAAGGGTCCTTAAATTTTTAATTTTATTATTAAATGTCTTTATATTTTTAATTTTATGAAATAGTCCTTTTTATTTTTGTAATTGAGGGATCATAATTTAATCATTTTTGTATGGTTTATTAATGTAATATTAATTAATTTTTCAAAATAATATAGTGTATTTTCTTTCTACAAGGCATATTTTTGAATTTTTGCTCAAGGTTTATAATTAAAATCCCAAATATTTTTTAATTTTATAAAATAGCCCCTAATTTTGTTACATCACTAACGAATGTTAACTACGAATGATCAATTTTTATAAATCAATAATATTAGTTATCGATTTGCTACTTTAAATTTCAGTAAAAAAACAAAAACTTACTCAAAGTCAAACATTAATGATCATGTAGTTTACACTTATATATATTATTTTGAACAAATTTTTAATTGTTATTAAGTTTCTTTATGTTTTTAATAATTTAAATTAACACAGAAAAGGAGGACGAGATAAAAATACATCCACATTTTAAAATTTAATAATTAACCCAAATCTTTAATATCGATTTAATTATTGATGTGGGTAATTTATGCATTTCTTCTTATTTATTAAATAATAAGATAAATTATATTACTAGTCATTGATTTTTTATCTTTAAATTTTAATAATCGATCATTAAAATTTAACCGTGGCAATTTAAACTACAATAAAAAAAATATAAAAATTAGCTTTTTCAATTTTCTTAAAATAAATGAATATATTCGTAATCATAAACTCAATATAAATTATAACATAAGTAATAATATTTTGATTTCCGCACACATAAAGATATCATACATGATTTATATATTATCACACTAAAAACACGAGAGATATGGTGCCACTAGGCCATGCTCGCACCATTTATTACTTGCAACTTAAGTAAAAGAAAACGAAACATGAATTTATTTTACTCGCAGACACACAACATAAACATCCCTTCTAATGCCCCACTGAAGATTTGTTTATATGGATTACCTCGACTCACTCCAGCTTCTTGTTTCTGGTCACAAAGCTGATGCTGTAGTAATTAGAACCGGTGAAAACGCCGCCTTTAACTTCAGATAAGACGGTGGTCCCATCAAAAAGAGTGTCCCTCTGCAGATAAGTGAAGGGGACATCGCACTTACCTTTTGTTCCCAGTACAGTAACTGTTGCCTCAGTCATTGGAGGCACAGTAACTTTGTGTACAGCTTGTACAACTGTAGTCACCGTGGTGGTGTTTCCCCACTCGACTCCTGATTGAAATTCACCGGATAGTTCAATTTTCCCCTCAAAGATGAGTGGAAGTTTGAACTCCATTGTGGATTTCACACCCAACTTCAGTGAAATATTAGTTTTCCAAGAACTAGTCCTGGTATCTGTATACGAGAGCGGCACTTCTAAAGTGGAGAACGTTCCGGGACTCAAGTTTCTAGAACTATTCTCATCTAAGTTGAGGATTGCTTCGTCGTAGACCCTGGCATTATTGAGATCGTATCGGACACCGTAGATTTCTCTCGTCGCGACAGCCTCTTCCACCGTTAGCTGGGCTTCTTTTGTAACGCTGGAGACTGCTGCATTAAGACAGTTTGTTTTGCCTTCGGTTGTGAGTCTTTTGCAGAAATAATTGTTGCCCAAGTTGATAAGACCTATGATTTGATCGGTAACTTTTACCGGGCGAAACAAAGTGTCGTTGTTGAGGCTTCTAGTATCTGCCCAGATCCAATTCGGGCTACGCCTCCAATAGTTGTTGTTAGAAATTTGCCTGATCTGGATGGTTCCATCACCGATTTCAAGAACCTCGCATGCCACGGTTGGATCACCGATATCCACCGTTATAAACTGCAAATAAGGGTGGCCTTCAATAGAACGAAGACCCAAGTACAGTCCGTTGTCTCCTTTGAGGGCCAGGTACCTAGGCAGGATCACCAACGAACTCCAATCAATAATCTTGAAGATATCAGCGCCTTGACCATCATAAGTCTTGTAGTTTGCCAACACAGAACGAGTGTATGTCTGATTGCTCCACTTCCATAAGCATAAATAGCATCCTGATTGGACATGCGTGAATCGGACCGTATTCTGGGCGGCGTTGACAAAAATAACCTTGAACAAAGTGCATGACTCCTTGGATTGGTCTGCCTCCTTCTTCTCGGCGGTGGCAGTAATCCAGTACTGGCTGCTGGTGCTTCCGGTGAGGGAAAGATTTTTGGTTCGTTCCCAATATTTGTTGTTCTGACAGCTTCTTACGTGCACCATGTCGTTTGTGGAGAACTCCACTTCAAACTTGGCATATGGGTTCTGGACACCATCTTCGAAGAACCTGAGATACCCATCAGTGTCTTTGCGATCACGGATATAGCTCATGTAATTAAGGTTGTCGAAGGATCGGACGACCATATACTGTGGGAATGCGATTTTCGGTCCCAATTCCATTTCTGAAATTAAAATTTGTGCTTCACTATTAGTGTTTGCTTCCCACGACTAACTTGACAAGCTATTTATACAGAAAATCAAGGTCAATAATGTCCATCGATGAAAGTAAAGTTTATTTCTAAGGTTGATTTTAGGGATTGAACTGACAACATCCAGATAGTAAGTTATTGGAGTTATACTCTCTCAAAAATTATTTCAACACTTAAATTGAATGGATTTAACTCAAATTTACGAACTTAATAAATAAATTATATTATAATTTTAAATTTTAAATTTTTTAAGTTAAGTTATTGATAATATTAATATTTATATATTTATTTTTTTTAAAAAATTATAATATATAAATAATATTATATTATAATTTAGTCGTTATGTTGCTTTGGTCGTGTTGAGTTGGACATTTTGTTAGTTTCACTTGTTTTGGTGTTATTATCAAGGTGTATTTCAGTGCTTATTTTTGTAGCTTGCTTCTTGGAAGCATTGATTTGCAACATTTTGGACACCGGCTTGTCACACCCTGAAATTATTGGAGTAATGTTAATATTTTAATTAGCGTAATTGAGGGACCAAACTGCTTTATTATGGAAATTTGAGTTCATTTCATAAGTTTTGAAACAGTTTAAGGGTTTGACCTAGATTTTACCAAAAACAGAGATAAAAATGGAATAAAAAGAATAATGTGTGGCTTGTAGGTTTAAAACAATGACCAACAGAAACCCAACATAAGCCTTTACCGTTTAGGCTAGGTCTATGTAGCTGACAAGAAATGGTGAAAATATTTGTTAAACTGTTCCAATTGAACTTTAAAATACCAATCTAATTTACCTTCACTCAGATTCACGTGTGACCCAGGAAAGCAAAATTTCAGAGAATTTTATCTACACCGCCTCTAACCACTGTCTCGCCGTTCAACTGCCTCTGCCCAGCGGTGTCCTACACTGTCACCACCACGAGCACCGACGTCGCCTCCCGATCAAATCTTGACCAACGGCCGTCTTTCGTAGCCCGTCATACATCAGAAAATAATAGAAAAACCGTTCGGTGTTCTCCATGGTTTACCAACATCGCCGTCAGCATGACCATCCTTGCCGGTGTGAGTGTGAACGCTAAGCCACCGCGATCAAAACCCTGTTGAGAGCTCACCGTGAACTATCACTTAACGCCGTAGTAGACCTTCAAGAGCTTCATCGGAAAACTCAAAACCCCGTCATTGTTTTAGTCAATTCCAACCAACACGATCGTCCGTTCGCCTCACCGCCCTCATCATCAAGTTCCCCGCAGTGTACCGACCGAAACCCAATCGGTTGAAATTGAACCCGTCACTGCCGTACGCACCGCCACGCGCCATACTTGGGGCTCATCTTCCAGCCTTATTTTTTTTTCTAGAAACTGATCTGATCAGACCGAATCAACCCAAATGAGTCTGAACTGAATGTGATCGAACATGCCAATCTGACTGAACCAGTAGAATGAAATTGTTGACCCTTAAATCGTTGACTTTAATCAGACTTTGACTTCAACCTTATTGACTTCAAAAAGTTAACTTTTTTTTTTTTTTGAAAAGTCATATTTTATATTTTTTTGACGTCCTAAGTTCGAATCCGAATTTAGTTTCATCAAATTCAAGCTTGGTAAGTTATTTTTAAGTGTTTTATCTTCTGATTCGATTCATTTATCCCAATTAAGTTTCGTTTAGGATATAATTTGTTTTGTCATATATCCGAGATATTTTGGTACTTCAAATTCAAGTTCAATAGCAATCGAATGGAGTTTGATTGATCGACTAACGAGGCTAAAAAATCGAGATAAAGCATTACTATTTATTGCATGCTTTACGAAACTTGTTGATAATTGGTAAATGCGTGAATGAGAACAATTGATCAATTATGCATAATTGATTATTTATGGACTCGAACTGAATACGGTATAAAGACAGTAAATTGAACAAGACTCGATTGACTAGTATAAGGAACTATAAAACTAATAAGGAATAATTTCGAGTTCAGTGATTAATTGGTAATTCGATTAGCCTAAGAATCCTTCAAATTATGAATTATTCTCATTTAAAGTCTTAATGTGGAAATGCTTGGATAGAAAATTACAAAAATACCATTTCGAAGTAAAATGGGCATGAATTATCCTTAAAAACGAAGATAACCCTAAAAAGTGATACTTGATCCGACAGAACTACTGTTTCACCTATTAAATACTCGATCTGTTTAGAAATTTATTGATAATCAATATTTACCTCTGAGATGGGAAAACATACTTAGAATTTTTGATTTCTTGAGCAAGCCACTAAAGATCAAATTACTGGAAATAGTTCATTCATTTTGATTGAACGAGATGACAATGATTGTGGGAACGACATGCGAGCTCATATTTTGATCCATTAGAATCTTTAAATCACCGATTAAGTTCTTGATATGTTTGGAAAACCCTGAAAACCAGTTTATACCTTTGGGATTTCAAAATACGTTGATCTCCTAATTTTTTGAATGATCATTTGAATACTAAATTACTGAATGTACGACACATCGGTGAAGTATTTGAAATGACTGGATTATCCTCAAGTTTTAAAATGACCAAAATGCCCTTGGACCCCTAAAATTATCAAAATACTCTCGCCCCCAAAATGAAAAAAATAACCTCGAGTACTTATATGACCTAAATACCCTTATGACCCAAATACCCTTATGATCAAAAAATAAGTGAATATCATTAAATAAAATTTTGAAACACCGATAAACCTAATTGTTGTACCACCTTTAAATGTTATGGAGCACGACCTAAGAACATCAGTTTTTCTTGATAATGTTGTAATACATAAATAAAATAAATACCACCAGAAATACTTGTTCATCTCCTTTAGATTCTTTCAATGATTATTTTGAAGTTGATCAGTTCAACTTATGCAGTCAAAATTAAGAAGTGAATATTCGTGAAGTATCTCGGACCGAATGAGTGATAAAAATCACATTTGAGGTTTGTTTAGTACGATTAAATTCGAAATCCTGATAATTTGATATAATTTTGGAACTTCAAATTCAAGTTCAATAGCAATCGAATGGAGTTTGATTGATCGACTGACGAGGCTAAAAAATCGAGATAAAGCATTACTATTTATTGCATGCTTTACGAAACTTGTTGATAATTGGTAAATGCGTGAATGAGAACAATTGATCAATTATGCATAATTGATTATTTATGGACTCGAACTGAATACGGTATAAAGACAGTAAATTGAACAAGACTCGATTGACTAGTATAAGGAACTATAAAACTAATAAGGAATAATTTCGAGTTCAGTGATTAATTGGTAATTCGATTAGCCTAAGAATCCTTCAAATTCTGAATTATTCTCATTTAAAGTCTTAATGTGGAAATGCTTGGATAGAAAATTACAAAAATACCATTTCGAAGTAAAATGGGCATGAATTATCCTTAAAAACGAAGATAACCCTAAAAAGTGATACTTGATCCGACAGAACTACTGTTTCACCTATTAAATACTCGATCTGTTTAGAAATTTATTGATAATCAATATTTACCTCTGAGATGGGAAAACATACTTAGAATTTTTGATTTCTTGAGCAAGCCACTAAAGATCAAATTACTGGAAATAGTTCATTCATTTTGATTGAACGAGATGACAATGATTGTGGGAACGACATGCGAGCTCATATTTTGATCCATTAGAATCTTTAAATCACCGATTAAGTTCTTGATATGTTTGGAAAACCCTGAAAACCAGTTTATACCTTTGGGATTTCAAAATACGTTAATCTCCTAATTTTTTGAATGATCATTTGAATACTAAATTACTGAATGTACGACACGTCGGTGAAGTATTTGAAATGACTGGATTATCCTCAAGTTTTAAAATGACCAAAATGCCCTTGGACCCCTAAAATTATCAAAATACTCTCGCCCCCAAAATGAAAAAAATAACCTCGAGTACTTATATGACCTAAATACCCTTATGACCCAAATACCCTTATGATCCAAAAATAAGTGAATATCATTAAATAAAATTTTGAAACACCGATAAACCTAATTGTTGTACCACCTTTAAATGTTATGGAGCACGACCTAAGAACATCAGTTTTTCTTGATAATGTTGTAATACATAAATAAAATAAATACCACCAGAAATACTTGTTCATCTCCTTTAGATTCTTTCAATGATTATTTTGAAGTTGATCAGTTCAACTTATGCAGTCAAAATTAAGAAGTGAATATTCGTGAAGTATCTCGGACCGAATGAGTGATAAAATCACATTTGAGGTTTGTTTAGTACGATTAAATTCGAAATCCTGATAATTTGATATAATTTTGGAACTTCAAATTCAAGTTCAATAGCAATCGAATGGAGTTTGATTGATCGACTGACGAGGCTAAAAAATCGAGATAAAGCATTACTATTTATTGCATGCTTTACGAAACTTGTTGATAATTGGTAAATGCGTGAATGAGAACAATTGATCAATTATGCATAATTGATTATTTATGGACTCGAACTGAATACGGTATAAAGACAGTAAATTGAACAAGACTCGATTGACTAGTATAAGGAACTATAAAACTAATAAGGAATAATTTCGAGTTCAGTGATTAATTGGTAATTCGATTAGCCTAAGAATCCTTCAAATTCTGAATTATTCTCATTTAAAGTCTTAATGTGGAAATGCTTGGATAGAAAATTACAAAAATACCATTTCGAAGTAAAATGGGCATGAATTATCCTTAAAAACGAAGATAACCCTAAAAAGTGATACTTGATCCGACAGAACTACTGTTTCACCTATTAAATACTCGATCTGTTTAGAAATTTATTGATAATCAATATTTACCTCTGAGATGGGAAAACATACTTAGAATTTTTGATTTCTTGAGCAAGCCACTAAAGATCAAATTACTGGAAATAGTTCATTCATTTTGATTGAACGAGATGACAATGATTGTGGGAACGACATGCGAGCTCATATTTTGATCCATTAGAATCTTTAAATCACCGATTAAGTT